GCAGATTCGCAGCTTACATTCGCAGCCAGCCGATTCAGAGGGTGGCTTAATAGCCATTGCGTAGGTGAATATGCTGACCCATGAATATTACTACCTTAGGTAGATAAATCCTCTCACATGGAATTGCGAGTCAAATGGCCAAATGATGTCTATGTCGTCGATAAGACGTCAAATACGTGCACGAAGATATCAGGTGTTCTTGCTAGTGCTACATGCACTGATCCCGGCGAGGTCCGATGCTTAGTAGGTAGGTGGCAATCTTTTATGGCACCTTAAATTTAGGCATCGGTGTGAATGTGGCAAATTCCAAGCCGACCACGTGCTTGCATGATATAATCAGAGCAGGCGCTGGAGACGCGAATGTGGCACTACCGTCAGTGGCTGCTGTGGTTGGTAGAACGTTACACCATCTTGAGATTCTCATCAATCGGTTCGAATCTGGGGGTTCGAAGCAGATAGAAGAGATGTACACATCTGCTTGGATACATAAGTGAGGATTTGGCTATGTAGAAAGAAGGATCATGCGTGCCACGTGCTATCACATTTTTATTCTTTTTTTTGGCAAATCTAGGGATCAGCGTCTGGACGTTCCTGATGGTGATCACAAAATTAAGTGCACTGTGGTTGGGGTTGACGAGTTCGGGTATCTGCGTGTTTTGAGTGAAAAGGGTGAGGAAATTGTCCTTCATCCAAACGGAAACTCGATTGATATGGTCGCTGGGAGTGTGATCTCGCGTCGTATTCCCTAGCATTCTTCTCCTTTCATGCCTTCATGGACTGTGATTTGTTTGTTTGCTGATATTACTTCTATTCCAAATAATAGGGTTGCTTTAATCGACAGTTGTAAAAGCAGTCGGTGTATTGGAGGGGGTGGCACTCCTCGAGTCTCGCCATGGGGGCAACCGCTTTTCCACTTTCAAACCGTTAGTTTTGCTCGCCTGCGGTGTCGAATAAAACGCGTGTAAGTAAACTGACTTCGGAGAAGTAGGCGGGGAGGGAGTTGGCCGATGACGAGTTTGGGCCATAATAGTCTTTGTGATTATCCATTCTTTGGTGTCTGCTCACAAATTGCTTGTAGGACGAGTTACTGAGACTTCATGTGAGTAAGTGAAAGTGTGACACGAGAGCTCAGCTCATATGTCGCGGCAGGAAGGAGTAGGATGGTCGTGTGGTCCAAGATTCAGTGCTGTCAGGGAGGTGGATAATGCCAGTAGGGGTATCGTCATCGCCATCAATAGTGAAGGAGAGCACCATTATAGCATTCTGAGACTTGTTGTTGCGTAGAAATTGGTATTGAGGAGAAAGGTATGCTTATATTAAAGCGAAAGGCGGGATTGAGCCTTGGCTTAACCTGAGGGGCAGTTTACTTTCTTAACAAACAAAAAATATCAGTCAGAAGGTGGTCGAAGGGAAAAAAAATACCGTAGAGGCAGTTAACCATGATATCTCATTATATTATATGTGGCTTAAAATCGAATGATACCTAATCCCAGTTAGAATGAATAGTGGTAGGATAAGGTATAAACGGAAGGCTAGAACGAAGTAAAGTAAAGTTTTTTAGCAGCCTTTTAGGCGTCCTACAAGACTGAATACCGTTAAATAGGAGGCACTTCAAGAAAAAGCCCACTACCCAGCAGCTGCGGCTAATACCTAAGGAGAAAAAGTTGAAGGGGAATATTTGGTCACAACGCAAATGCATCCTCTCAGTACCATTATCTACATCTTCTATCGAATTAATTTCGATAATGTAGACATTTGACAAAGGCCTTCAGTTTTGAGACGGATATACTGCAATATTACCTCCGTCGTGTCTCTAGTGGCGTGAATGGCAAACAGAGCGCATCCTCCTTAACCACTGATCACGCGTTTATTCAGATGCAGTTATAATTCACTTTTATTACTTGCAGATCAAGAATATGCGAAACAGTGCTCAAATCGGATAACGTACTTTTCAAAGCCAACCAAGAACCTTGTTTGACTGTATTTCTTTGCAGCAGACATCTCAAAATTTGTCGTCGGTTGGGTTTCGGTGGTAGGCGCGCTTTGTGTCCCACCTGTACTCACATTGAAGGTTTTTAACTGAGTTGTCGGTGGGTTCGTTACATCTTTTTATGATGTTTTCTATTTCATCTTCATCTTTGCCTAATTCATGTGCCTTGGTGGGTTTTAGCACTACGACTAACAGTCGTCAGGATTTAGTCATCGGTGTTGAGTATTACTCTGTCTGAATATTGGAAGAGGGATTTTGTGTTTAGCTTACATTGGATTTTCATAGCAACGTGGGTCAAACTTGTACTATTGCTTTCTTTTCTTAGGCCCGAATCGTGCGACATGCTCTCTTTCTACAATTTGATTTATTTTTATTCATTATGGTTTGTTCTTCTCAGTGATTCTTTCAACTGTTCCGAAAATCTTGTGCACAATGTATCAAACCTCAGACTACGTGCCGCGATCTTATGAATATGTGGACCCATCTTCCTCTTCCATTGATGTGACTCAGCAGCAACCACAACAGCAGATGTTGCTGCTTCAAACCACTGATCTAGAGGCAGTTGACTTGGACGCTGTTCGGAAGATCAATGACAGAATGGTTCCTTCGAATCCGAAGGCACCTGTTTGTTCAAACAAAAACCCTCTTCGGCTCATTCAGCAAGGCGATAAATTCATCACGACACAGAATATAAAGGATTCCAGTCTTCAGCAAATCATCCAGATTCTAGCCAATGATGCTCTTGTCGAACAAAGCAAGGATGGCCCCAGTGTATTTTGCTTCCACAATCGGAATGCCAATAGACGAATCGTTCTTCGTCTTGAACATGCTCATACGAAGTCTCAGCAAAATCGACAGCGTGATCAGTCGGAAAAGGCCTGCAGTGAGGCTGGCAGCCATTCCAGTTTGGCTCCTTCGCAAGAAGGAACTCCAAAGCGTCGGCGCGGACGTCGTCCAGGTCGGAAAAATAAGACAGCAGAGGAAGAGGATCCTGATTTCGAGCCCGATCTCCCTATCGAGGAGGTCTTGCCCTTCCCAATCATTCGGAAGAAAGCTCCCATTGTTGTCTCCGATAATGAGAAACTTGTGGCTGGGAGAGTCTCTAAGCCGCCCAAATATCTGGTAGTTTGCTTTTCGTGCATCAGTTCTGCTCTTCTACCCTTAAATGATTAATATACGCATCTGCAGGCTATCAAATATCATGATTTTAAGCATTTTTTTGCAGTATTTTGATAATGCGCTGAATTACAACAGCAGTGGTCCATGATAGATATCATTCATTTTTGACATGCCAGTTTTTAATACTTTAATTCAGACTGATTTACGTTGTCCTCAATAAATTTAGTGGCTGTTATGGGAACTGTTGTCCCTTTATTTGGCGTCCTTTCAACGTCACCTCTTGCTAGGCTTTTTAGTGTATTGTGTCTTTTTTCAAGTTCGAAAGCAATATGGATACTTGATAATTTTCCATCTGGAAGACTGTTAGTTTGCTTTGCTCCTTCCAACTTGTTGTGGATGTTATGGGAGTATTTTTAGATATTGTAATTGTTTTTTTTTACAAGAAATTAATTCTACTGGCATAATGCTGATTTATTCCTGTTGCCTTTTGAATACGGTTGTAACATTGATACATAGTGTGAATTGCTACTTTATCATCTATCTTGATTATCGGCTGGGATCGGAGGATGGGCTAATTTTCCATACTAATGTGAAGGAAGGAGGAAGGAATGTGAAGGAATTCATTGGAAGGAAAGCTCTCTCTCCATACATTTTTGGATTTTTCTAAGCTATAGATCAGGATTTTGGGTCACCTTACGAATTCACAAATGAATTGCATTCCAATTGTAGGTTCAAGGTAACGTAAGGTTGAATTTGTTTACTTGACTCACAGGATAACTTATAAAGCACTTATTATATAAAAGCAAATCACCCTGCTGAAATCTTGGGTCGTGACGCTTAATTTTAACTCGCGTCATTGTTTAAGGTGTATAATGTTATCAAAAGAAAATAAGTCTCATATTCCCGTTTAGGCTTGTAAGCGATCATTTGTCAACGCGTATTTGAGGTTTTGTATTTTTTGAAAATTAAAACTGCATTATGCTTGAATGCAAACAGATTAAAGACTACAAACATCTTCGGTTGGAAGATTTGAAGGACAATGAGGAGGAAATGGGGTATGGTGGACATAGCATGAATGCCCTCTCCGACGATGATTCCAACGTTGGCTACTCAGACTACGATGATGGGATCGATTCGAACTCAGACAAAGAAAGTGGGGACAATAGGAAAATTAGTAGGTTTGCTTTAGAGTGCAATTCCTTGATTGGCTGGTGCAAATTCACTATTACCCTTCTTCGTTCCTATTTCCAGCGTCATTAGGATTCGACTGTGATAAATGCGAAAAGTCATTCTCCACACGGGCTGGTCTTTCTCGACACAAAATGCTAAAACATAACCCTAACGGAGACGTAAAACGCGTAGGTCCCTGGTCCGATCCTGCTCTTTCTGCTCTTCGTCGACGCAACCGTCTCAAAGAGGTTAGTTTCTCCCCCACACTGTTTTTGCCTTGGGAATTTCCGCTTTAAGCTTTTGTAGGCTCTTCCTTTTTGTTCCTGTTAAAGGCGTTGGAGAAAGCAACTCCTGAGGATATCGCCGATATTGCAGCTCCAAAAGTGGCAAAAGTGATGTCTCTGTGGGACTACCTCTTCCTTCGAACTGAAGCCACAACTTCCTCATCTCTTCCCGAAGGACCTTCTAGAGCACTCCCTTCTCTCCCGAAAGTCTCTTCCCTCCTTATGGAGTACCTTGGATTTGTTTATAGATTCCGAGATTTCTTCAGCAAGCATGTGGAAGTAGCAAGCGTTAATTGCGATGACTTGGAAGGAGTCGCAGAAGAAACTGAAATTGATGCTGAAGAGGCTGCGATTATGTGTGGTGGGCCTGCGCCGGCTTCCGTAAAACGTCGTCGGTATCTTCGAATGAAAAAGCGAAGAAAATTAGAGGGTGCATCATTTGCAGAGACTATTTGACTTGTTTGTAAAGAGTCCTGGGACTAAAGCTCTGTTCCTTTTGTCCTCAGAAACGGCAAATGTTACGCCTACCAATCAGGAACTGGACGCTGCGAACACTTCAAACGCTTTTCCAGCAAAATCCACTGTGGCAGGAAACTCTATCAAATCTGATCCAACAAAGCTATTGGAGGAGGACGGCTGTGTTAAAGTGAGTTAGTCACTATATACATCGTTGCCATTTATCGACCAAATTGTTTATTTGTGCATTTTGTTAGGTGGGAGACCAGTCGGAAGCGTCCATATTAGGTGTGGAGATTGGTCGATACAAACCAGTCTTTCCCCTCTCCGGAGACTACCTTCCCCGTCGATATGGATCAGTGCTGCCGGAAAAGTCGCCGCCAACACCTTCTACTCCAAAAAAGCCATTACGGCGGTCAGACCCTCTACCGAAACGAGCGCTAATCACAACTGGCGAGCAAATTCAGCCAGCTCAAACTATTTCTGAAAATACTCGACGTAATGAAGATGAGGACGAAGACTCCGAGCCTATTCTAGCTCCTGATCCAATGAAGGAAGGAAAACCCGACTCGGGGACCAACGTCCCTCTGGAACAGAATGTGAGCCTAAGCTTATTTTCGTCCTGCATTCTGCTTTCGATTATATGTCACTTTTTTCTTCGTACCTCAGTTCATTCTTCAAGTTGAGGGAGTGGGACACGCCATACCTGACGAATGGATCACCAGTGGTGCATTCATCCCCGTTGCTTTTGAGTCTGGAGCGTTGAGTGATTTGGCAGTTGAGGCGGGTACCGGACGCATTTTCCACCGCCCGACAGGTCAGCTAGTTTCTGTGTCAACAGAGTCAGACATAAGTGGTGGGGAAGGCACGACCAATATAACAGACGCTACTGCCGTTGCCGCTGATTCAACGCCACAAGAAATATATGTTTCAAATATTTCACCAACTGTGTGTCTCATCACCACCCCTAGTGGTGCCCGATATCACGTAAGGCATCGTTGTCTTATACAAACTCAATAGGAACTCACTCTATCAACCATTTCTTGTTAATGTTTAAAGGTGGAGCATGGCGGAGAAGGCGTAACCACTGAGACGATACAGGCAATTCTCCGCATGAATGGAAGTTAGACAGTCGGCTATTGTCAACGTCCCATCCTCTTGTAAATACCGCCCACGTATTTTATATTTTTGTACAAGCACTATTATCATTTCTAGTGGAGCTTTATACACCTCTGAGAAGTAAATTGCCTCATAAAATTAATCGGCCATTCTTTAAAGTTATTTGAAATTGCTCTTAGTCCACGGTCGTGATGATCTAACTACCGAGGCCCAAGTGGGAGGCTTCCTCGTGTTCACGCGACATGGACCTGAGCAGTGAGAAAGGAAGTTTCGCCTCCTTCGAAGTTGGAATTCTAGCAACATCAGTTTTGGCTTACAGTAGAGGAAGATGTTAGGGAAGAAGTAGTCTGCTGTAGTGCGCATTGGCGTCCGT